ATTTTCATCATAGGTACACGTCAACTATGACAGACAAATTGAGAAAAAAAAATCCAGAAAATCACATTGTAGGATTTTTTATGAATTTATTTGCAAATTATGGTGGAAAATAAGTATTTGGTCACCTACAAACAAGCAAGATTTCTGTCTCTCACAGACCTGTAACTTCTTCTTTAAGAGGCTCCTCTGTCCTCCACTCGTTACCTGTATTAATGGCACCTGTTTGAACTTGTTATCAGTATAAAAGACACCTGTCCACAACCTCAAACAGTCACACTCCAAACTCCACTATGGCCAAGACCAAAGAGCTGTCAAAGGACACCAGAAACAAAATTGTAGACCTGCACCAGGCTGGGAAGACTGAATCTGCAATAGGTAAGCAGCTTGGTTTGAAGAAATCAACTGTGGGAGCAATTATTAGGAAATGGAAGACATACAAGACCACTGATAATCTCCCTCGATCTGGGGCTCCACGCAAGATCTCACCCCGTGGGGTCAAAATTATCACAAGAACGGTGAGCAAAAATCCCAGAACCACACGGGGGGACCTAGTGAATGACCTGCAGAGAGCTGGAACCAAAGTAACAAAGCCTACCATCAGTAACACACTACACCGCCAGGGACTCAAATCCTGCAGTGCCAGACGTGTCCCCCTGCTTAAGCCAGTACATGTCCAGGCCCGTCTGAAGTTTGCTAGAGTGCATATGGATGATCCAGAAGAGGATTGGGAGAATGTCATATGGTCAGATGAAACCAAAATATAACTTTTTGGTAAAAACTCAACTCGTCGTGTTTGGAGGACAAAGAATGCTGAGTTGCATCCAAAGAACACCATACCTACTGTGAAGCATGGGGGTGGAAACATCATGCTTTGGGGCTGTTTTTCTGCAAAGGGACCAGGATGACTGATCCGTGTAAAGGAAAGAATGAATGGGGCCATGTATCGTGAGATTTTGAGTGAAAACCTCCTTCCATTAGCAAGGGCATTGAAGATGAAACGTGGCTGGGTCTTTCAGCATGACAATGATCCCAAACACACTGCCCGGGCAACGAAGGAGTGGCTTCGTAAGAAGCATTTCAAGGTCCTGGAGTGGCCTAGCCAGTCTCCAGATCTCAACCCCATAGAAACTCTTTGGAGGGAGTTGAAAGTCCATGTTGCCCAGCGACAGCCCCAAAACATAACTGCTCTAGAGGAGATCTGCATGGAGGAATGGGCCAAAATACCAGCAACAGTGTGTGAAAACCTTGTGAAGACTTACAGAAAACGTTTGACCCGTGTCATTGCCAACAAAGGACATATAACAAAGTATTGAGAAACTTTTGTTATTGACCAAATACTTATTTTCCACCATAAATTGCAAATAAATTCATAAAAAATCCTACAATGTGATTTTCTGGATTTTTTTTTCTCATTTTGTCTGTCATAGTTGACGTGTACCTATGATGAAAATTACAGGCCTCTCTCATCTTTTTAAGTGGGAGAACTTGCACAATTGGTGGCTGACTAAATACTTTTTTTCCCCACTGTATGTAAACTTCCGACTTCAACTGTACGTCTCGTGTCTGAGCCGTTGAATTGTGACTCCACTTTGTCTCTGTACTGATGTTTTGCCTGTTTGATTGCCTTACGGAGGGAATAACTACACTGTTTGTATTCGCCCATATTCCCTGTCACCTTGCCATGGTTAAATGCGTAGCTGGCCGTGACCGGGAGACCCATGGGGCGGCGCACAATTGGCCCAGCGTCGTCCAGGGTAGGGGAGGGCATGGCCGGCAGGGATGTAGCTCAGTTGGTAGAGCATGGCGTTTGCAACACCAGGGTTGTGGGTTCGAATTCCACGGGGGGCCAGTATGAAAAATAATGTATGCAATCACTAACTGTAAGTCGCTCTGGATAAGAGCGTCTGCTAAATTATAAAAAATGTAAAAAAAGGTAAAATGGTTCGCATTTTCAGTTTTGCGCAAATGCTGCCATCTATACACGGTTTCTGGTTTGGGTAGGATTTAATAGTCACAGTGGGTACAACATCTCCTATACATTTCCTGATAAACTCAGTCACTGTGTATCCGTGTATTTGTCGATGTTATTCTCAGAGGCTACCTAGAACATATCCCAGTCCGCATAAACAAAACAATCTTGAAGCATGGATTCCGATTGGTCAGACCAGTGTTGAATAGTCCGTAGCATGGGTGCATCCTGTTTGAGTTCCTGCCTATAGGAAGGGAGGAGCAAAATGGAGTCGTGATCAAATTTGCCGAAAAGAGGGCGGGGCAGGCCCGGCCGCAACCGGGAGACCAATGGGGCGGCGCACAATTGGCCCAGCGTCGTCCAGGGTAGGGGAGGGAATGGCCGGCAGGGAGGTAGCTCAGTTGGTAGAGCATGGCGTTTGCAACGCCAGGGTTGTGGGTTCGATTCCCATGGGGTATGAAAATAAATAAAAAGAATAATGGATGCACTAACTGTAAGTCGCTCTGGATAAGAGCGTCTGCTAAATGACGTAAATGTATATGTAGGTCGGGTGAACAAAAGGACTTGAGTTTCTGTATGTTATCACATTTCTTTTTTTTTTACATTTTTTAGTCATTTAGCAGACGCTCTTATCCAGAGCGACTTACAGTTAGTGAGTGTATACATTATATATATATTTTTTTTCATACTGGCCCCCCCCCCCCGTGGGAAACGAACCCACAACCCTGGCGTTGCAAACGCCATGCTCTACCAACATCCCCTGCCGGCCATTCCCTCCCCTACCCTGGACGACGCTGGGCCAATTGTGCGCCGCCCCATGGGTCTCCCGGTCGCGGCCGGCTACGACAGAGCCTGGATTCGAACCAGGATCTCTAGTGGCACAGCTAGCACTGCGATGCAGTGCCTTAGACCACTGCGCCACTCGGGAGGCTATCACAATCACACCATGAGTAGTTACTCATGAAACATACCCCCCCTCCCTTCTTCTTCCTGGAGAGATCTTTATTTCTGTCTGTGCGATGAACTGAGAACCCAACTGGCTGTACGGACTCAGACAGTATATCCAGAGAGAGCCATGTTTCCATGAAACAGAGAATGTTACAATCCCTGTTGTTTCTCTGGAAGGAGGTCCTCGCCCTGAGCTCGTCAACTTTATTATCCAGAGACTGAACATTAGCAAGTAATATACTTGGATGCGGTGGGTGGTGTGTGCGCCTCCTGAGTCTGACTAGGAGTCCACTACGAATACCTCTTCTCCGCCGGCTGTGTTTTGGATCAGCCTCTGGAATCAGTTCAATTGCTCTTGGGGGTACGAACAAAGGATCCAATTCGGGAAAGTCATATTCCTGGTCTTAATGCTGGTAATGCTGGTGAGTTACCGCCGCTCTGATGTCCAAAATTTATTTCCGATTGTATGTAATAACACAAAAACAATTCTGTGCTAATAATGTAAGAAATAACACATAAAAAAAGAAAATACTGCAAAATTGCTTAGGAGCTAGAAGCACGGCTGCCCTATCTGTCGGCGCCATCTTTTCCATGTAGCCTTGTGAATGTTAACTTGTTTAAAGGTCTTACTCACATCTGCTACAGAGAGCGTGATCACACAGTCGTCCGGAACAGCTGGTGCTCTCACGCATGGTTATGTTGCTTGCCTCGAAGCGAGCATAGAAGGCATTTAGCTCGACTGGTAGGCTTGTGTCACTGGGCAGCTCGTGACTGGGTTTCCCTTTGTAATCTGTGATAGTTTGCAAACCCTGCCACATCTGACAAGCGTCAAAGCCGGTGTAGTAGGATTTGATCTTAGTCCTGTATTGACGCTTTGCATGTTTGATGATTAGTCGGGGGGCGTAGCAGGATTTATTTTAAGAGTCTGGGTTAGTGTCCCGTTCCACTATAGTTTCAAATGAACATTGTATATAAATAGAAAAGTTATCCAAGCATATTGCTTCATGTTTTCGTCATTCTTGCTCTTCATTTGTCATGGTAAATATTTCCAAATGTAATTTTTCTAATAATCCTTTCATATGTCTTCCGAGCATGAAGCCTCTGAATATATGCTTTAATCAGATGAACATCAAATAGGCCTTTACATAACAGTGCTTCTAAATGCATAAATCAAATTCACATTAATCTTTCACTGTAGAAACAGTAGTTTTATATTGAGTTGTAAATTCACAGATTGGGTATTGAACTGTTTTTTAATGAGGTTTGGATTTCTATATGGGGCCCAAAATGTAGCTATGTGTGTGTGGATACACCATTGATTAGAAGTGGATGGTAGGGCTGGGATTTGCCAGGGACCTCATGGTACGATATTATCACGATATTTAGGTGCCAATACGATATGTATTAGGATTCTCACGATTCTATATGTATTGCGATTCGATTGTTCCAAACGTATTGCTTACTATATGTCTGCTGCAGAGAGACGAAAGAGCATGAGAACATGAGTTTTTATAAGTCATGGAAATAAAAGTGCTGAAAATATGCTGGCTCACTATTTAATAAGAAGATGGAAAACAAGCTATACGATGAGTTTTGGCGCAGGTACAGCCGACTAGTATTAGAAGCCTAGCAGAAAAAAATCTAAATTGATACTTGGAGTCAAAGTATCTATATAATATCATCTTCTACAAAATAATATTGCGATTTGTAACTGTATAAAATGTTTCCCCCATCACTAGTGTATGGTTTGTTAGTCTGTATTGTTGTCTCTCTCCTAGCGCTGTGCATTGCAGATCTGAGTTTAAAGGGATAGTTAACTTCTTTTTATGTTTAAGCTTATTTTCGAAGTACCTGGGGTTTCCTACAAACCGTTTTAAAATGGGTTAACTGGTTATTTAGCAACGTCCATAATAATCTGGGGGACGCTAGCTAGGAGATGCTAGCCAGGAGATTCTGGACTAAATAACTAAACGCTAACTAAAGCCTTTAAACTCAGGTCAAATGAGTACTTTATTATCATTCTTTGTTTCCAAGTTTACAGTTAGTTCTCTGTTTTGATGCCTCTCTCTCTTCTCATCTACAGACCTTCCCTCTCCGGCCATGAGGGAGCGCCCTCCAGGCTGTAAAACTGTGTTTGTGGGCGGTCTGCCAGAGAACGCCACCGAGGCACTCATCGTGGAGGTGTTTGGCCAGTGTGGTGACATCATCGCCATCCGCAAGAGCAAGAAGAACTTCTGCCACATCCGATTCGCTGAGGAGTTCACTGTAGACAGAGCCCTCTTCCTGTCTGGTATGTTTCCTACGTTTCCTATTAAACATCATGCTGTGTTGTGGAATAAATGCAACCGGTCTCCAGTCAGAGACCTTAACTATGCAGGTCAATGAGAAGACAACTAGAGGTGTGTTGTGGAATAAATATTCCCTCTGTTGAGTCAGACCGTCACTATGCAGGTCAATGAGAAGACAACTAGAGGTGTAGTGGAATACATGTCTTCGATACCCTTACTATTGAGGTGACAATAGCAGAGGTGTAGTTAAATACATGTCCTCCCTCTCCAGATTGAGTTCTGAATGGAGGAAATGAATCACCAGTACCAGTCCCACTAGTCATGTGACACCAGAGGGTGTTTTCTTATCTAATCTCCTTTTCCCAGGTACTAGACTCCATTCACATCTTAAATCTCTCTCTTTTCCCAGCTACAAGACTCCAAACCCACGCTAACTTCTCCCTTTTGGTGAAGACTGGAGAGATAGAAACAGAGAGTGAGAGCAAGCAGAAAGATAGAGCGGGAGAGACACCAGAGAGAGAAAGAGAAACATATATGAGCGGCAGAGAGATAGAGAGAGAAAAGGAAAGAGGAGCAATTAGTCTCTTTAAGTCTCCTCTATAAATCAGTATAGAGAGAGCAGAGAGGCGTTTTCTACGCCAAACCTACTTTAGCTGGGATGTAGCTGTGACAGAGGAACAAACCGATAAAAAATAGGGAGAGAGCCTCAGAGGGATGGAGAGACAGGTGGATGGACATATCGTTTTAACCCTAATTGAGGATGTCAGGTAGCAGGATAGAGATTCAGGGGTCTGACAGAAAGTGGTGTGTGTATTTCCCGCATTTTACTGCCCTGCACCTGTTCGTTTAGCAGAGTGAAATGTCACCGTGATGTTACCACCTGGTTCTTACTCTCTCCCCTTCTCCCTCCCCCTCTCTCTCTCGCTCCCCCCCTCCCCTCTCTCTCCCCCTTACTCTTTATTTTTTACTCTCTCTCCCTCCCCCTTTCCTCTCGCTCCCCCCTCCTCCCCAGGCTACCGTATGCGTCTGGGCTCCAGTACAGACAAGAAGGACACAGGACGGCTCCATGTGGACTTTGCCCAAGCCAGAGATGACCTGTATGAGTGGGAGTGTCGTCAGCGCATGTATGCCAGAGAAGAGAGGCACCGCAGGAGGATGGAGGAGGACCGTTTCAGACCACCCTCCCCTCCACTCATCGTCCATTACTCAGACCACGAGTGTAGCCAGCTGGGGGACAAGATCAAAGGTGGGGCTCCACAACTTTTCGAAGAGTATCCCTTTAATGTGTTTGATTGATGTGTGCATGCATGCGTTTGTGCGTGTGTATTTATAGACGTAAAGATGGCGAAAGGAAAGCACAGACTTTCCCACTACTGTAATCTGCTGAAGTCCACAAATATCCACAACTTGTACTACTTAAAGACGTCTGAATGTGAGGATTTTAGTGGAAAGTAGGTCAACATCATGTTTTGTGCATTAGTGATGAGGTTAGCAAAGGCAGTTAGCCTCGCTGGTATTTTAGCCCAAACACCTTGACACGTTCTCCATTAACTTTTGCACAGAGAGAGCAGTAACATTTTACCTGGGGAAGTTATGAATGTGGCTTCTCTACTTTCAGTTGAACTGTGAAGGTGCTAGATGTGAAAATGAGTGACAGCCAGGCAGCAGCCTGATGTTTTAGTATCTACACATCTCTTCAACATATCCCGCTGCTCTTACTGTATTTGGGCATTGACTCTTAGGGACCTCGTCAAAGTGTGTTATTTTGATAAGCCTCTTAGCTCCCTAGCTTTATAGATGCATTGTATGACATTGAAGGTGATAATTGTGTTCATCAGATGACACAGCCTCACAGTTAAACACTCATTCAGTCCAAATATGAATCATCTATGGGCCCTAGTCATTGTCAGTGATTGACCTGTATTGATATTGACTGAGGATGTGTATTAATAATGGACCTGTAGTTACCAGGGAGGACTAGTGACTGTCGAGGGCCTGGAAATATAAATCATTCTATAATATAGAGTAACACCTCAGGGAGTTCTGGTTATGACACATTAATTTATGACACCTTGATTCAATATTGAAAGCAGTGATGGATTCTTTATGCAAATCATTCGCTGACGTGTGTGTGTGTGTGTGTGGGGGGTTAATCTTAAATAAATAAAAAGGCTTTCAGCTGCTCAATCTGTGTTAGCATGTGTGTGTTAGAGAGTGAGTGAGTGACCGTAGTGAACAAAAACACTCAATATTTTTATATCCCAATGTCTTTTTTCTCTCATACCCTCTCTTACCCTCCTTGTGTTGAGTTAGAGGATCCTTTATTAGGAAACTAATAAGCACTAACCAAATGTAATGTAATGTAATGAGCACCAGTTTCATTAGTGGTGCCTGGAGAAATGGGTATACTCAGAAACAAAAGAGTGATCAAATTAAGATCCTACATCTGTACACTCTAGATGACCTGAAATGATGAATCCCATATTGGTCTTTCACAGTCAGGCCAACCCAAGCTGTACTGTGCAAGTAGACTAATAGTAGGCCTACTATTGAAATAGATAAATGAGGCTGTCAATGAGTAAGAAATTCACAGGTTTCAGCTTTCTCAACCAAATAAATCTGTTTTCGCTCTCAAGTCACTCTTTATACATAGAAAAACAACAAAATTGGATGCTCTAAGTCCACAACAATGCTTAAACCACATCAGGAGACCACTTGAGGCCTGGGAAAATTCAAATTTTCAATTCAAATGAGCAGGCACCTAACACTATTGTTTGGTTAGCAGTGTTTCTGTAGCGCACATGAGATGGAGTTTGCAAAACAAATGCCCACTGGATTGATGCAAATAATGATAGCTAGTTAACGTTTCATTTTTGGGAAAGCCTTTCCATTTACCAGAAGACGGTTAGGCCTGTCATTAGCATCGCTATATTTTTCCTGTTGCTTAATTGTTTGAAACCTGGACGTTTTACTTCATGTTATGAGGCATGTCTGACCTTGCTTCAAAGTAGCCTGTAGCCAAAATCCCACCATAGAAACGTGGAGGCAATTATTTTATAAAGACTTCCTCATATGCGCTCTCCTGTTCTATTGGTTTTCAAATCAACTTTCTTTAATTGTCTAGCAGCCAAAGGCATTATCCTAGTCATATTAACAACCCATGATAGTTATTGCATCCCTAACAAATATTTCCATCACTGTCCATGAAAGCGCTGTGTTTTCCCGCAAATTTTGGAACGTTTGAGCGTAGGCCTACCGCCATGTGCACATTGCTGCCCTTAAAATTTGAAGAAATAATAGTTAATCAACATTTTAAGCTAAACATTCTGATCTGTTCCATCAGCCTTATTCATTGATACAGTGTATACCTCCACTACACTACTTTGATACATTTACATACATTTACACTTTCGTCATTTAGCAGAAGCTCTTATCCAGAGCGACTTACAAATTGGTGCATTCACCTTATGATAGCCAGTGGGACAACCACTTTACAATATTATTATTATTTTTTTTGGGGGGGGGTAGGGGGAGGGTAGAAGGATTGCTTTTATCCTATCCCAGGTATTCCTTAAAGAGGTGGGATTTCAAGTACGCATTGTGGGGATTAAAAAGTAAGTATACGCAACTCCCACTGAAAAAAAAGTTGGTATACTGTGTATACCTGCGTATACCCTCCACTACACTACTGAGTGTTATTAACAATGAAAATCAATAACACTCTTGTCTCTTGACATCACCTTATCAGTCTACGACCCAAACATGAATGATGCAAAACAACAACTGTTGTTCATACAAAGGCATTTGAAACATTTATTCCATTCATTCAATGCCCTCTAGTTAACATTCAGAGCAGGACTGGAGAAAAGCCAGAACCTGTGGTGCCATTTAGAATGAATTTTAGGGATTTCATTAAAGATATCACTATTCTCTCTCCTACCCTCTCTCCTCTCCTCCCTCCCCTCTTTCCCTATTATCCCCTCCGTTCCTCTCCTCTCCTGCTATCAGCTTTGGGCTGAATTAATACACGTTTTTCTCTAATGGACTGTGACACATCAACGTCTCCACGGAAATGGTTTGGTTGGCAAACACTTTGACTTCCTGCTTCTCTGCCATCTCTGTGGCGCCTCTCCTCTCAGTTCACTATCTGGCCATGATACATAGGACAGAATAACTTTCAAACCATTAAGATCCTCCTGGATTATTTGTCATTTAATTCAGAAATTCATGTTCTATTTCCTAATTCTGTTTCAAACCACAAATGGATTCTTACCCCTAAACCTAACCCTAACATTCAATTTATTTTAGCCACTAATCGTAACTTTAACCCTAACAAACCTAGCCACTGACCCTAACCTTTAGTCTTACCTTAACCCTATCCTCTCCTCAGATGAGGCAGCGTTTGCGGATGCGGTGCGTGTGCTGCTGACCTGGGTGGAACGCGGCGAGGTGAACCGTCGTAACGCCAACAACTTCTATTCCATGATCCAGTCGTCCAACAGCCACATCCGCCAGCTGATGAGTCAAAAGGCCGCCCACGAGAAGGAGATGGAGGAGGCCAAGGACAAGTTCAAGAGCGCCCTATCTGGCATCCTGGCACAATGTGAGTACACACTAGGCTGACACATCACACACACACAGAGGGAAAGAGAACCATGTCTCACTTCAGGGTCAACATCAAACCACTCGTGGCGTTCTCTTGAGGCAACGTCACATTGTCCCTCTAAAAGATCCCCACACTCAAGTGATTTTCATGTCACAAGTTCACTTGCCCTATTATTACAGGCCAGTGCTCCATACATGATGGATCAAATACTTGGAGACATAAAACAGAAATGGTCTTTTCTGAAAACACACACACACACACAACTGGGCACAAACCGAGCAGAGCATTTCTGAAGACCCCCTCTATGGGAATACTCTTTGAAGGAGTAGATTAGGAGCAGTTTGACTGCTGAAGGCCAGTGATGGCAGCAATAACACTGAAAAGGTTATTTAGGGAGCTGTTAGCTACCTTTCTTAGCCCATCATCATTAGACCCAGAGTGGCCATCTCTCTCGCTCCATCTCCCAATCTCTCTCTTTCCATCTTTATTCTCTTTCTCCCCGCTTCCCTCTCCCTTACTCTCTCTTTCTCTCTCTGTCATTCTATCTCTGTCTCACCATCTCTCCATCTCCTAGTGATTGACACCTCTAACACCTCTGTCTGAGGAGAGCAGCTGTCTGGCAGATTCACTAATGAGGCTTTTAGGTGCTGAACTCACTGTCGACTCCTGTAGAGCTGACCCTGGGTCAGTCAGAACCATTAGACTACCCGGGTCAGCCAGAGACATTCAGATAGAACAAGTACCTGGGTCAGTAAGAGACATTAAGATGGTACCAGTACCTGGATCAGTCAAACATTCATATAGTACCAGTACCTGGGTCAGTCAGAACCATTAGACTACCTGGGTCAGCCAGAAACATTCATATCTTACCAGTATCTGGGTCAGCCAGATACATTCAGATAGTACCAGTACCTGGGTCAGCCAGAGACATTCAGATAATACCAGTACCTGGGTCAGCCAGAGATATTCAGATAGTACTAGTACCTGGGTCAGCCAGAGACATTCAGATAGTACCAGTACCTGGGTCAGAAAGAGACATTCTGGTAGTAACAGTACCTGGGTCAGACAGAGACATTCAGATAGTACCAGTACCTCCTGTTCATCAGAAGACAACATCCCATAGGGAGCAGACATAGTTTTATGAACCTGCTTCAACCTGCTCTGTGGCAGCCTCTCTGTATCTCACAGCTGTGAAATGTGTGACACTAAGGACCAAGGATATAACACACTCCCATACACCTGGGGGAAATAGAGATATAAATGTCTGAGTTTGCAGGAACCTGTGATGGGTGGAGCTACCTTGCACAAGGACTATTTGAACTCACTCGAGTGATCATTGAATGGCGATGATCTGTCGAGTGGCGCAGTGGTCTAAGGCACTGCATCGCAGTGCTAGCTGTGCCACTAGAGATCCTGGTTCGAGTCCAGGCTCTGTGCCACTAGAGATCCTGGTTCGAGTCCAGGCTTTGTCACAGCCGGCCGTGACCGGGAGACTCATGGGCGGCGCACAATTGGTCCAGCGTCGTCCAAGGTAGGGGAGGGTTTGGCCGGCAGGGATGTGGGTTCATTTACCACGGGGGGTACAGTATGAACAAAATAAAAATAAATAATACATGTATGCATTCACTAACTGTAAGTTGCTCTGGATAAGAGCGTCTGCTAAATGACTAAAATTAGGCCTGTGAAATATTGATAGCACAGACAGTAACTTTTATACTAAGTACTCTTTCTATTGTAGGATTAATGAAACCTCAGCTTCAATGACTCTTGCTTCAAAGACAATTGAATATGATTGACACCAACACAATCGCCACAGATAGACACAACGATCATCACATAGACATAACAATCCTCAGAGATAATAAAACACTTCACAAAGAAACACCTATGATTTAACAACTCTTTAGCCACGTGATGCACTCTAAATTCTCACAAAAAGCATGCTATTGTATACCTCTTGTGTGTTACCCTAGTATTTAGGAGCAATGTTTATTTGATGAGAAAGAAGGTAAGTTTGCTTTTGGCCCCACAAGTACAGTATCTAGGGCTGCATGTAGAAATAGTCCAGTGTAATCTCCCCCAGAGGTCTGACACAAACTCCTTTAGTTAACGTTAGCCTGTGTTAGTCTGTGGACAGCTGATCTGAAGGAACCCACAGCCATAGAATCAAAGTAAGTAACACCTCTCTACATGAAATCAACTGGAAGAAATGAAATGAGTCATATTGATGATTGAAAAGCCAAAAGGGAAAATGTAGACCTGACCTGATTCACAACTGCCAATGCTAAGAGCATGTATGAGTTCAGATATATTTGGTGATACACCACCTACAGTATTGTGTTAGTATGGACATTGAGATGGACCACATAATCGGTTTTGTTTATACAGTGATATATTTGAAAGAACAAAGTGGGTCTCTCTCTCTCTCTTGTTCTCTTTTGAAGGCCACCCTCCTCCATCACAAGTCATACAAACACTTATTTATATTCAGGAGTTTGTCTTTCTCTGCGGTTTCACCCTTACAAATTTCAACACAGACTGGTGTCCTGGGAGGCAGGGATACACTGTCGTTCTGTGAACAATAGCCACATCCATATTTACCAGGCTTTCTCACAGCTGCACATTTGTTTACATAGACATGCTGTTTCCAAATGCAATATAATTCAATATCACACATTCCTCCATTTTGGCATTTGGTTGTTGTCACCTTGAATTGAAGGGTTATTTTAAATAACCTGCTCTGAAGCAGGTTATTCAAACGGGATGTGTCCCAAATGGCACCCTATGCCCTATATAGTGCACTACTTTTGACCAGAGTCCTGCCTCATATTTCACTCAGGATGATCTTTATAGAAGATGACAATCATTTCACAGCTGGATTTGGGTCTGCGTCCATCATGTTTGGTGGATTTCAGTTGGTCTTCTATGAGATAAACCTGCTTGACAGATAGTTAATGGCCTCATTTAGAAATGCTTGCATCTGCACACACATAACCCTAGCTGGAGTCCTACAAATAACAACAAAGAACATACACTTATCCAACAGCTTTCTCTCTGAGTCACACACACACACCCATAAAAGGCGAGGCCACAACCTTGTACACTTTGCTCTCCCCTGCCTTCCCCATCGATCTCCTCCATCAAATTAAAGGATTCTGAGAAGCCGCTATTGATCTAGACACACTCCTCTCACTGCACCCTTTCTTCCCTCTCTACCTCCCTCCCTTCCAAGGCCACAACTCTGGTGGCCCTATTGACTCCCCCCTGGGTTCATTAAGAGAAACCCTTAACATGACATGTTCCGATCTAAAGCTGTGGTAAAACTGTGGGAGTGTTCATGCTTCCACATTGAGCTTCACAGAGTGGAAAGCTGACCAGTTCTTTAATACTGTATATTATGAGTTGTTGAACACTTATAGCACTATGTTTTGTGTGAGTACTCTGTCTGGACAATCTGTGATTTATGTGTTGCTGCATTATATCAGCAGGTGAGTAAATGGGTCATTCTGACACGCACACACATATACACACTCAAAACACCTACACATTCAAGGGTTTTTCTTTATTTTTACTATTTTCTACATTGTAGAGTGTACAAAGCTGTCAAGGCAAAGGGTGGCTACTTTGAAGAATCTCAAATATAAAATATATTTTGATTTGTTTAACACTTTTTTGGTTACTACATGATTCCAAATTTGTTATTTCATAGTTTTGATGTCTTCACTATTAATCTACAATGTAGAAAATAGTAAAAATAAAGAAAAACCCTTGAATGAGTAGGTAGGTGTGTCCAAACTTTTGACTGGTTCTGTATACACACACATATATACACACATGTACACACACATATACACACACATACATTGCCTTGCAAAAGTATTCATCCCCCTTGGCGTTTTTCCTATTTTGTTGCATTACAACGTAATTTAAATAGATTTTTATTTGCATTTCATGTAATGGACATACACAAAATAGTCCAAATTGGTGAAGTGGAATGAAAAAAATAACTTGTTTCAAGAAATTAAAAAAATAAAATAACGGAAAAGTGGTGCGTGCATATGTATTCACCCCCTTTGCTATGAAGCCCCTAAATAAGATCTGGTGCAACCAATTACCTTCAGAAGTCACATAATTAGTTAAATAAAGTCCACCTGTGTGGAATCTAAGTGTCACATGATCTGTCACATGATCTCAGTATATATACACCTGTTCTAAAAGGCCCCAGAGTCTGCAACACCACTAAGTAAGGGGCACCACCAAGCAAGCGGCACCATGAAGACCAAGAAGCTCTCCAAACAGGTCAGGGACAAGGTTGTGGAGAAGTACAGATCAGGGTTGGGTTATAAAAAAATATCTGAACCTTTGAACATCCCATGGAGCACCATTAAATCCATTATTAAAAAATTGAAAGAATATGGCACCACAACAAACCTGCCAAGAGAGGGCCGCCCACCAAAACTCACGGACCAGGCAAGGAGACCATTAATCAGAGAGGCAACAAAGAGACCAAAGATAACCCTGATGGAGCTGCAAAGCTCCACAGCGGAGATTGGAGTATATATCCATAGGACCACTTTAAGCCGTACACTCCACAAAGCTGGGCTTTACGAAAGAGTGGCCAGAAAAAAAGCCATTGCTTAAAGAAAAAAATAAGCAAACACGTTTGGGGTTCGCCAAAAGGCATGTGGGAGACTCCCCAAACATATGGAAGAAGGTGCTCTGGTCAGATGAGACTAAAATTGAGCTTTTTGGCCATCAAGGAAAACGCTATGCTGGCGCAAACCCAACACCTCTCATCACCCCGAGAACACCATCCCCACAGTGAAGCATGGTGGTGGTAGCATCATGCTGTGGGGATGTTTTTCATCGGCAGGGACTGGGAAACTGGTCAGAATTGAAGGAATGATGAATGGCGCTAAATACAGGGAAATTCTTGAGGGAAACCTGTTTCAGTCTTCCAGAGATTTGAGACTGGGACGGAGGTTCACCTTCCAGCAGGACAATGACCCTAAGCATACTGCTAAAGCAACACTCGAGTGGTTTAAGGGGAAACATTTAAATGTCTTGGAATGACCTAGTCAAAGCCCAGACCTCAATCCAATTGAGAATCTGTGGTATGACTTAAAGATTGCTGTACACCAGCGGAACCCATCCAACTTGAAAGAGCTGGAGCAGTTTTGCCTTGAAGAATGCTCAAAAATCCCAGTGTCTAGATGTGCCAAGCTTATAGAGACATACCCTACAAGTATTGACTTTGGGGGGGTGAATAGTTATGCACGCTCAAGTTTTCAGTTTATTTGTCTTATTTCTTGTTTGTTTCACAAGAAAAAATATTTTGCATCTTCAAAGTGGTAGGCATGTTGCGTAAATCATATGATACAAACCCCAAAAAAATCAAAATAGGAAAAATGCGAAGGGGGGTGAATACTTTCACAAGCCACTGTATACATACACATATACACACACACACACACACACACACATACACACACGTATACACACACACTCACATACATATACACACACACACACACACACATATACACACACACAAATTATGAGAAACAAAAAGTGTTATGACAATTAGCACAGTCTCACAATCTCTAGCTTTATCTATTTTCCCCTATTGACTCATTTCTCCACTCCTGTGATTGACACACTGAGGGTGTTTTCGTAAATAATCTGAGGCTGGTTGTTAAAACCAGGCCAGCTGTCAATCACAGGAGTGGTTAGGAGGGAGTGATGAACAGACGAGTGTCTTCCAGCAGCCCTCCTGCTCCCTCTCCTACTCCAGCCCTGAATCAAAGCTGTTCTCCATCTCTCTCTCCATCTCTCCTCTTCCTCAGGCTCAGGGATATGACCACCCACCATCTCGCTCTCATCCCCAAGTCACTCAGCCGGGAGACTCTAGATTCCCTCTTTCATGTCTGATCAGATTTATCTCTTTCTGGAGGGTCTTTATTAATGATTGGTCATAATATGTAATGATATACAGAGACATTAAGATCAGCACTCCTATCTAACCCACAATGAGGACAGTAATGAGGAGAGCCAAGGTGCATCCCAAATTGCACCCTGTTCCCTAAATGGTGCACTACTTTTGAACAGAGCCCTATGGGCACTGCGTAGGGAAAAGGTTGCCATTTGAGACACAGCCTCGGTCTCAGATAGAAACAGGCCTTTCCTTCATTAGGTCTCAACTCTACACTCTTTAGAATTTGAGGCAGCCTTTGATTATGGCATTCAGAGCGTCTGAGTGTCGTAGAAGGTGAGAGGTGTTGTGGTAATTAAAAACAGGAGAGGTTTTAGAGGAAAAGAGGGTTTCAGTTAGTGGTAGAGACTTTACTTTGATCTCTTTATAAGATCTCTATGTCCTTCAGAGAATTCCCTTGTTCTACAGTCAGTCTCTACTGAGTCTGTATCACTGTGGAGGAGAGGAGAGAAAGAGGAGCAGGTAGTGTGTGTGTGTGTGTGTGTGTGTGTGTGTGTGTGTGTGTGTGTGTGTGTGTGTGTGTGTGTGTGTGTGTGTGTGTGTGTGTGTATGTGTGTGAGTGAGTGCTTGTGTACGTGTGTGTGTGAGGCCGTGGTCAGGGCAGGGGTGTGTGTGAGTGGAGCAGGAGCCTGCTGGTAGCGGTCTGATCTTCCTGTTGCGTTTTGCACAGTCCGTCTGCTGTTTTAGGACGGGCTCTCTGTGATCACCTCAAGACGGGGTGGGGTCCGTCTCCACCTCACTCCAACTCAGCTCACATACCCCACTCTCGACTCTGACCCAGAGCTGTACTATACTATATAGAACAGAATAGAACATTAAAAACACATAAACATACAGTAAGGTGCCTTCCTACCTGATTCCACTTTCTCACTCCTCTGCTCCTTCCCACCCGCCCGCTCTCTCTCTGGACGGTAACTGGCCCCTGCATCCCCCGCCACAGTTGAGCAGATTGTGTCTGTATTCCACGCTGCTTCCAAACAAAAGGCATGGGACCATTTCTCCAAAGCTCAACGCAAGAACCTGGACGTGTGGCGCAAGCAAGCAGAGGTTGGTCCTTTACTTTTTCTACAATTATTTACGCATTCTATTCATTTGGTGAAGTGCAGTATAGTCTACATATTATTGTGTCATGTATGTCAACATTATGTGAGCATCCCCATCTCTCCAATATTCCAGCCTCCAACTACTTTTTGTGAAATTCATGGTGTTGTCTTGGCAGGATGATTTGTGTTAGAGTATTAAAGCAAATACCAGCTTTAAAACAAGGCTCAACATTAGCCTAAACCTTAGCTTAATATCAATGGTAAAAATAATTGGTCCTAAAATGGAAATTTGTGGTATTATTTTAGTAGTATAAAGGAACTGAGATTGTAGAACATCAACATTAAAGTAAATGCTAGAGCTAGCCTAATAAACACAGGATGAATGCTAGGCTACACCCAGGCTCTCTACTTTGTTCAGTCCCCGAGTGGGAGCTCCGGTCAGGCCCAGGTCCAGGAAACTCACCCCTCTCTCCTTTGAAGGGAGTCCAGTCCGGTGAGTGGTCAGTCTCACTGCCAGGAACAGGTAACGGTACACTCACCCTTTAACTCAACCACAGTACACTGGATATGTCTTTTTTTACATAACACTTCAACACACATTTATATTTTCTTTATTTTATTACTCTCTGACTGTGCTTTCTTCCAATAGGTGAACAAATAACCGAATTTCATGTTTTGTTTGGAGTAACATTTAGGTCAGATTTGTTCTCTATTTTCTTCGTTGTTTCCAACAAACACGGCATTAATTACCACAAACACGTTTCCCTCTTTAATGGAGGGTGTTCAAGTGTGGCGCTGCTGTCATTTTAGGGCCAAACGTGTAAGTTTGATCTGGGTAGAAATCTCTGAGGGAGTCAGTGTGTAATTAACAACCTAATCTCTATTTCACAGCAACACTGACACAGTCACCATGGATCACAGGCTGGAGATGGTGTATCTCTCCTATGGAGATCCTAGTGCAAGAGATAGATTACAAACTAGTGGAACAGACTAATTACAAACTGTTGATGCACGTTGCCAGTGGCAGTGTGTGGGTGTTCTGTAAAGTGAGAATAATTTGTATGTGCAGGTCATGTGTAACTGACGGTATACATTTTGATGGGTTGGTAGCTGTGTGTTTGGGTGTGTGTATATCATGGTAGACTCACTTAGAGGTATAGCTGGTATGTCTTGATCTCAGACTGTAGAGACTCTTCTGCTCTAAAGGTAGGTGTGAGGTGGTGTGTGTAGACTAGGTACATCACTCCTCACTAAGCAAAAAATTACAACTTAAGCCTAATTTATACCTTGCGTATATACGCAACACAAGAACCCAAGTCTATTATTGCAGGGCTGCACTTGTCTGTGTACGTTTGCTACATAACTACACAGGACCGCGGTTTTGCATAGGTAATTGTAGTTCTTGTGTTGGGTACTGAGTAGGGTATAAATTAGGCTTAATAACACATAAACATGACATTGCCTTTTGATTTTTCATCGCATGGAGCTAAAACATACCTAAACACATCTCAATGAAGCTCTATGTGAATATTAATGTATTAAAAACACACAGTTACATTACAGTACAATATAATTCAGTACAATCCCCTGCAGAGCTATGAAAACGCTAATGACACCGGGAATAGAACTCTGGAGAGTTAACAACTCATACTGAGAACTGGAAGTGCCTCTGAGTGTGTTGATGCATATTAATACTGTTGGCTGTGAATATTCAGTTATTGTGATCCAGCAACACTATTCCCTACAGAATCATAAACATGCTAATGGTGATACCTGGAACTGAGCGCTTAACACACATGCATCACCTTCTGTTGTAAGTGTAAATGGGTTAATGACGCAGGTTTACCCTGTCATATAATACTGTCAATGGACATCTCTGTCGTCACCAGGGCCAATCTTCTATTGTTCTACTTGACATCATCTCTGTCGTCACCAGGGCCAATCTTCTATTGTTCTACTGATGTTGTCAGACCTTGAGTCTCAGGGATCAAATCCTTAGAGGAATATTAGAGCTCTCTTATTGCCAGGGAGTTTATTTATTTATAGACCGTGTCTTTCAATGCAGACTGTTGTGGCGTGTATGTGTCACTGTGCTGTAAATGGAGAACAATGATGTTGCAGTCACACAGTAATACAGCAGAAAATACAGCAGTTTAGTGTTGCAAAAATGTTCCAACATTTCCCCCAAATTCCTAGGTTTTCCAGAAATCCTAGTTGGACGATTCCGGATTTCCTGCTTATTCCATCCTGATTCCAGGAATCTTCCAACCAGGATTTCTGGAAAACCTGGGAATTTGAGGAAGTATTTTCCCACCCTACAGCAGTATCTTTATTGAAGGTATCTTCTGTATTTATCAGACAACAGGATGCACAGAACAGCAGGACTGGTAGATTGCAGGAGTTTCACTATCAGTCTGACACAATCACAACAACCATCTGCTACCTTCCATCCATTCATTTATCCATTTGCCTCCTCACACAGTCACTCATCCATTTACCTTATTTATACATTTACCTATTCAGATCCATCCATTTATCTATCCATCTATCCAATAACAGTGTCAGTCCACGAAATGGGTGCCTTTTGCTTCCCTTTGATATTTTAAGTAGAAATTATACACTGATATTGAATGATAAAAGCCAGTTATTTTAAATGAAGTGCACTTTAATATAGACCAGATGGAGAATTTAATACATCAGATTTGTTATATGAATAAAGGCTTGCTAAAATGCCAAAATTCAGCATCTTGACATGTCCCTACATCAACCCTGTGTCACTTCTAGGAAGATTTCAACACACTTAATCCCAACATTTCTCCATGTTTCACCATCATTGTCAAGGCCTAGTTATTTTGCTGCTTTGACAAAGTAATTTCGAAACATTATTATTTATATTCATGTGATTAGTGATGCATTTACGTCTGTCCCTCATTTTAAGGCCAACCCTGTTATGCAAACAATTTCCTCCTTTAAAAAAATTGACCATTCCACTAAGTTAAATTATTCACAACAGGGGACATCATGGGTGTTCTGAACAGCATGGTGGAAAAGGAAGGAAGTGTTCTCTCTCTTTTTAGTCTATTTATAATTGTTGGTGGCCGAGCTGAACACGTCAACCCTCTTCGTTCAATTAATGTTAGGAAAACTTTATTTTATTAAACTTTCATTATGTGTGAAACATGTATCATTCTTAATTTTGTGAACACCATGTGGTCCCATGCTCTTCACCACATGAGGAGTAATGGCTGATCTTCACCTTAAACCTCAACCCTGTTATCGTTAACCCTGTTAAAGGCCCAACAGTAACTTAATCAGTTTGATATTATATATCAGTTTATTTGTACAAGGGAGACTTGATCAATGAGAAAATGTTGGATTTATCGCAAACATGCCTTTAAATAATATACTGAACAAAAATATAAACGCAACATGCAAAAATTTCTAAGATTTTACTGAGTTACAGCTCATATAAGGAAATCAGTCATTTGAAATAAATTCATTAGGCTCTAATCTATGGATTTTACATGACTGGGAATACAGATATGCATCTGTTGGTCACAGATACACTATATATACAAAAGTATGTGGACACCCCTTCAAATTAGTGGATTTGGGTATTTCAGCCACACCCATTGCTGACAGGTGTATAAAATTGAACACACAGCCATGCAATCTCCATAGACAAGCATTGGCAGTAGAATGGCCTTACTGAAGAGCTCAGTGACTTTCAACGTGGCACCGTCATAGGATGCCACCTTTCCAACAAGTCAGTTTGTCAAATTTCTGCCCTACTAGAGCTGCCCCGGTCAACTGTTTTTTAAATGTTTCATTTCACCTTTATTTAACCAGGTAAGCCAGTTGAAAACAAGTTCTCATTTACAACAGCGACCTGGCCAAGATAAAGCAAAGCAGTGCGATAAAAACAACAACACAGAGTTACATATGGGGCAAAACAAAACATAAAGTCAAAAATACAACAGAAAATATATATACAGTATGTGCAAATGTAGCAAGTTATGTAGCAAGAGGTAAGGCAATAAATAGGCCATAGTGCAAAATAATTACAATTAGTATTAACACTGGAATGATAGATGTGCAAGAGATGATGTGCAAGTAGAGATACTGGGGTGCAAATGAGCAAAATAAATAACAATATGGGGATGAGGTAGTTGGGTGGGCTAATTTCAGATAAGCTGTGTACAGGTGCAGTGATCGGTAAGGTGCTCTGACAACTGATGCTTAAAGTTAGTGAGGGACATAAGAGTCTCCAGCTTCAGAGATTTTTGCAATTCGTTCCAGTCATTGGCAGCAGAGAACTGGAAGGAATGGTGGCCAAAGGAGGTGTTAGCTTTGGGGATGACCAGTGAGATATACCTGCTGGAGCCCATACTACGGATGGGTGTTGCTATGGTGACCAATGAGCTAAGATAAGGTGGGGATTTGCCTAGCAGTGATTTATAGATGGCCTGGAGCCAGTGGGTTTGGTGACGAATATGTAGTGAGGACCAGCCAACAAGAGCGTACAGGTCACAGTGGTGGGTAGTATATGGGGCTTTGGTGACAAAACGAATGGCACTGTGATAGATTACATCCAAATTGCTGAGTAGAGTGTTGGAGGCTATTTTGTAAATGACATCGCCGAAGTCAAGGATCGGTAGGATAGTCTTTTTTACGAGGGCATGTTTGGCAGCATGAGTGAAGGAGGCTTTGTTGCGAAATAGGAAGCCGATTCTAGATTTAACTTTGGATTGGAGATGCTTAATGTGATTCTGGAAGGAGAGTTTACAGTCTAACCAGACACCTAGGTATTTGTAGTTGTCCACATACTCTAGGTCAGACCCCTCGAGAGTAGTGATTCTAGTCGGGTGGGCGGGTGCCAGCAGCGTTCGATGGAACAGCATGCATTTAGTTTTACTAGTGTTTAAGAGCAGTTGGAGGCTACTGAAGGAGTGTTGTATGGCATTGAAGCTCGTTAACACAGTGTCCAATGAAGGGCCAGATGTATACAAAATGGTGTCGTCTGCGTAGAGGTGGATCTGAGAGTCACCAGCAGCAAGAGCGACATCATTGATATAAACAGAGAAAAGAGTCTGCCCAAGAATTGAACCCTGTGGTACCCCCATAGAGACTGCCATAGGTCCAGACAACAGGCCCTCCGATTTGACACATTAAACTCTA